AACTGTCTTTGTTTTTTACTGTGAAAATAATTCACAGTAATTGCTTATGACATAGGAATGTCAAAACCTTGCTTTGGCCAAGAGCTGTGAAAACAGGGGCTGAGTGTGGTAGGTCAGGGTCAACAGGACAGTATAAAAAAGAACTAAACATAATGAGCCGTGGCACAGGCAATGGACCAACAAGCTACAGAACCATCCTCAAAGCTGCTGGGAAGGTGTACACTGTGATATTGTTTGATTGGCAGCCTGTGACAACTAGTTACAAACACCTTCAGCATTAGAGATTACGAGGGACACTTGGTCCACTTCATAAACTGAGCTTAGCAGTTTCACATTATCTACGTGTCTCTTCCCCCCATAACAACCTGTGTGAGTGGTTTGGTTTACTCTGACTCTTTAAAACCACCTTGAAAGCATCAGCTCCTTTTGATATTAAGACCCATACCAAAACAAGAGAACACATCTACCAAAGTGGATATTATTAATTGAGGAGTGTTGCCATTTTGTGAGTTACAGGTTATCATCTCTAAGTTTTCATAAGCCAGATTCTCTTTAGGTCAGACTGATCCAAACTCTGGTTAATTCTATTGATTATGTTAAAAGATTAGCAGTAAAAATGAGAGAAGAATCAGGTCCAAATATGTCTTTAGAGTTCAATGACTAAAATGGGTATAAATCAACGAATATTTATCCTAGTCTTGCAAAAATAATCCAGGATCAAAAACAGGGCATGGAGAGAGGTTCTATTACCAAGCATACTACTGACAACAGGGCTTGTACTTCTGCACATGTCAGAGGAACTAACAACTGGACAGAGCAGTTGTTAGTTGACTACTGACAGCTTGACTACTGAAAGGAATACAGCTGCATTCCTACAGTTCTTCGTGCAGCTTAATGTGACTTGTTTTTCAAGGGATTTCCAGTGAATACATCTAGTAGTCCAGTTCCAGGATGGACTAGCAGATAAAAATACCTTCTTACTCCTTTTGCTAGCTGAGTGGAGATGCTGAAATGCAATGACCATAGATACTGTAATTATAATCTTTTGGTGGATAGAGGATTTCCTTCTTTCAAATGGAGCATCTGTGGATTTTTTAAGTTGTTCTTTTAAGATCAAGTGCTGCTGTCAGTTATGTGTTATAGCTCCCACTGAGCCAGTGGAAAATTCTCTAGGTTAGCACAGTCTTTCAAATGCAGACTAGTGAACCAACACTTACTGTGGTAAGTTGATCAGTTTAAAACAGAGGCAAGTGCTTATTTACATGGCAAACTATGAACTTCTGGAATCTTCTGCCCAGTAAACTGTGGATGCAGATGGCAGGACAGGGTCAAAGTAGATCTGAGAAACTCATGGTAAAAAGTCCATACACGGACACTAAAGGTAAAATGCAGAGTTCCCAAACACACAGTCATTGTGAGTATTGAGGTAGTGTGACAGGATCATAATGAATCACAGATAGCGGCCAAGATTGTCTGCTCTCTCTGAAAAATGTCTCCTTCTGACACTGCTAGATATACAGTGTTTGGACTACGCTTTCTGCCCTGATGGAGTATTTTCTGCGGTTTCAGGTTTGTTCTGTTCCTCTTGCACCATGAGGTAGGAGACGAGGCTAGCCAAGAGGACAGCAGGTCTCCAGAGATGTTCCTTTTGGCATCCTGACCTTCTCTTACCTGTTTTCATCAAAATGCCTCAGCTGAAATAAGTTAAAGTGGATTAATCAACGCTAATTTAGCAATCCTCTTTAAGTACCCTTCTCCCATCATCCTGTGCACAACTAGACCACATCAGAGGAATAAAAGAGTTAGCAGAGTATGGGGCCTGGAACGCTGTTCCTCATTCTGGCTGCTACCTGCCTCCATTTCTACATCCAGAAGTTTCTCACTAGGGATGTTTAGCACTGTCAAATACATTCAAGTCTTTCAGTGACAAGCTGTCTGTTCGGGTTGTCAGTGGCCTTTAGAAACTGGGGAATGTTAGGAACATTTTACATTACAACATTCTCCACAGAAGCAGTAAGGCAGCTGGCCATGTGCTGTGTGTGAAATGTCTTAGTAGAGGATCAGAGATAATGTTGGTCTGCTACTCAATGACAGAGATCACATCACAAATAAGAACAAAGCAGAGATGTTTAATACCTTCTTTGCCTCTGTCTTTAATAACAATGATGGGCCCTGGGACCTCAGGAGCCTTCTGTTGAAAGACCATGACTGAGGGGATGATAAACTCAGAGACAACCTTGAACTCGTTCAAGAGTGGCTGCTCCAGATGAGTAAGCATAAATCTATGGTGCTGGATGGGATTTGTCCCAGGATACTGAAGGAGCTGGCCAAGTCTGGAGAGGCCCCAGTCAAATGGAAGATGGCAATGTTGCCCCAATTTTCAAGAAAGGTAAGAAGGAAGACCCTAGTAATTACAGGTCTGCCAGTCTCACTTCATTGCCTGGTAAAATTATGGAGAAGGTTATTCTGAGAAACAACTGCCAGGTCCCAAAAGGGAGGTTCTGGGCTCCCTACTCTGAGGTAGCCAAAGTTCCAGATTCCCTTGGGCTAAATCAATTAGATTCAATTGGATCAATTGGAAAGTTTTTTTATATAGGCAGCAGTAATTTAAACTTTATGATAGGTTAGGCAAGCTGTAGCAACAACAATTTAAACATTTCTGAACAGCCTGTGGATGAAACCTTTCTGAACAAAACATGGCAGTGATCTTTGAACAGCCTGCGACCGCAGGGAGTTCAACTTTTAAGGAGAGGAAGAAAGGAAAGATAGGAAAATAGAGGTAGAGAAAAAAAGATCTGGATCACCACGCAGGGTTCTAGTGCCGTCTCTGGTCCGGTTCCTCCAGATGGCGGGTGCATGGATGGTGGGTGCACACCCTGCCCCTCCGTTGCGCTATTTATAGCCTAGTCCTCACACACGTACATTTTTTTATTCTCGAATTTTTCAGGAGGGGGTTGGGGGGTATCGTGGTTTCAATTACCCTCCCCCATCTGAAACACAAGTGCAATGCTGTCTCAAATTTAGTTTTTAGAGATAGTTACCTAAGGAAGTTGGACCCAGAAAAGCACTATCCTGCCTCCTCAAGACCCCCTTTTCTACCTGCACCTTGTCTCATTTGCATGGCAACATTCCTTTTCTCTTCTGCCAGGTGTTTGAGACATTAACTCTTTCAGGTTTTCAGTCTCTCACAAGACTGCAGACATCAGTCATAGTCAGCACAGGTTCACAAGGGGAAAGTCCTGCTTAACCAACTTCATTTCATTTCATTATAAGGTCACTCATCTAGTTGACCAAGGGAAGCAAGTAGATGTAGTGGGTTTGGATTTTAGCAAAGATTTTATACTACTCTCACAGTATCCTTCAGGATAAAATGTCCAGCACACAGAGAGACAAGTCCATAGGGCGTTGGGTGAGCAATTGGCTGATAGCCCAAAAAGCTACAGTAAATGGGGTTACATCAAGGCTGTTGACCAGTCACCTCTGGGGTTCCTCAGGGCTCAGTTTTACTGCCAGTGATTTTCAATGTTTTTATAAATTATCTGTATGCAGGAATCAAATGTAGGAATCAAAATTAAGTACTTATGTCAATTATATTAAACTAGAAGGAACTGTGGACTCCCTTGCGGGTAGAGAGATCTGACCCTGCAGAGAGATCTGGAGAGACTGGAGAGCTGTGCAGTCACAAACTGTACAAAATTTAACAAGAGTGAGTCTTGGATTCTCCAGCTGGAACAGGATAATTCTGAAGTAATCCTGAAACTGACTTTCTTGTGACCAGTGACAGGACTGGACTAAATGGAATGAAGCTGCATTAGTGGATGTTCAGCTTGGACATCAGAAAAAGGTTCTTCATTGAGAAGGTGGTCAGTCACAGAAACAGGATCCCCAGGGAAGCAGTCACCACATCAGGCCTGTCAGAGTTCAAGAAGCACCTAAATGATGCTTATTAGTCATACTGTTTGGGTTTAGGCCATCCTGCAAGGAGCAGGGCGTTGGACTTGATGATCCTTTTGGGTCACTTTAACTTGAGATATTCTGTGGCTCTTTGATTCTATAAATGAAGATCCTAAAATGAAAATAGAAGTATAACATTTAGATCCTCTAATTGCACTTTGGACCTGCTGTGATTTTTAACAGATATAATCAATGACCCCCTTAGCCATAGATTTCTTTCACTCTGTTTCACTAAAAATAGCATTTGTCAGAAAACTCTAATACAGTGAAATCAAAGTGCTACAGCACCTGTATTAGTTTTACTAGATTTTTTTTTGTACACTATATTTTTTTCCACATTCCTTTCAGGCCAAGAATGTGGACCTATTCATTCAAGCACAGTCTTTTGTCTCCAGGGGCACAAACTTTCAGCACTGTTATTGAAGACACTCACTCTTCTGCCTCCTGCCTTTCAGGAGGTCTGGCACAAAATAAAAACAAAGGTTAAATTTTCACAGGGGACAGATATTCTCTTTTGAACAGCTTTTCTCATCTCACAGAAACTGTACCCTTCCAGCCAGTCATGGAATTTGCTAAATCAAATCTGGAAAGGACTTCAATTAAGTATTATAGAGGGGCCCAGTGACTGGGAGGCTGTCAGACCGCTGCAGATATTGACAGAAAGGGGTTGGGTAGCATCATTTGGTGAACTGAAACCCATGCTCAGATCTGGGTGATAAAGGAATCTGGTGGAGGGTTTCTGGGATAAGACTGGAGTTCCAGGTAAAAATCAAGGGATTTCCCACTCTGGAGCCTGAAGGAGAAAAACTGCCCTCTTAGCCTGTGCTTCATAATATGATAGAAAAAAACCCACAGTGCTTTTCTCTCAATGGGACAGGACAGTTCCCATGATTTTACTACATTACTGTTTCCAAAAAGCCTGCTACAGCACTCTTTAAACTCCTACTAGACGTGAATGGCTTCTTTCCTTCTCTTTACAGCTCAGTTAACCCAGATTGCAAATCAGCATTCATATGGTTCCCTCTATCGCTCAGAAATCTACTAACCTCTAAGATGTCCCAGAGTTTCAAACAATTCTCTGTTATCTCTGACTCAAAGTTCACAGTCCAGAAATCATCAGGAGCACCTCCTTGGATAAAGGTTTTCGAACAGTCCTTATAGTCTGGAGAAACAGAAGCAAGATGATTAACCTGAGTTTATTCAGATGCCAGAGAAGCTCATGGAACAAGACTTTTTAACCTCTTTCTTGTGTCCCTGTCATAGAGACAGCTTAGCCATGGACAGGTCAGCTGATGGATGCTGTCCACTCCATATCTGGAACCAATGCCATTCTCCCCAGGCAATTTTTTCCCCTCTTTTAAATGCAGAGGAGCCCTTCAGCCAGCCTTATCCTAGCAAATGCATTTAGTCCCCTAGGAGAAGAGAGAAGGACCTTATCTCTCATCCCTCAGGAGTGACATAAATATAGTATCTCTAAACAAGGGAGAATTTTCATACAGGTCTGGTTCCTAAGAATCCCGTCCCTCTTCTCCTGCAATATTTTAACATCTGTTTTTGGATGCAACATTCAGTCACCAAATGACGGTTGTGCCCTCAGAGAAGCCGGGGAGGACACTGGGCACAGAAGCAAGCCCATAACAGACACAAAGTTCACTAGTTCCCCCTTTCCCAATCCCACAAAGCACAGGAAAACTTGCCTTCCATGTCCATGACATTAATGTTTACTTGCGCCAACCTCGCGAGTTTCTTCAGACCTCTGCGGGTTCTTTCTGAGTCTTTGAAATAAAGCCGTGCTACATGAATGTCTATGTTCACATTCTCGTGCCTCTCTAAGAAATCCAGTATTTCATTGCAGCAGTTCACACAGGGGCTCCAGGACAGGTACCAGGTGATGGAACAGTTGACATTATTGTATGGTTTCATTCTAAAGATTTTCTCCAGAAAGTAGACTTCAGCATGATAATAATCGTAACGATAATTTTTGACCCAGTGTATCCAAGAGCTCTCGCTCTCACCCCATCGCAGTTTGCATAGTAGATACGTCTCCCGTGGAAACTTAGAGGGATCAAACTGGTTTTTTAATGCCTTCTTAGATATATACATGCTGAAACAGAAGAGAAATTTCAAGAAATCACTGCTTACAACTTTGTTTTCATTAGTACTCCAGTACACAAAAAAAGGGGGAGGGTACAGGAAATAAGAGGAGAACTGAGAAGGGCAAAACACGAGAGAGCAGTGCAGAAAAATGGGGAGGTAGGCACAACGGCATCATGAAGGAGCTAAGCCCTGAACCACTAATCCTCCCTATGGCCGTCCTCTTCCTTATCAGTGTGAGTATTTCTAAAAGCTTTCTACATTTTTTTTTTTTAATGTGTCAGATATTTTTACAGGGCTTCTATCTAGCCCTTTTCAATCTAGGGAACCATTGCAAATTTTGCCAAAACAAAAAAAAAAATTAAAAAACAATCAAACCACCCATAAATTATGAAGCTGAATATTTCTTTTTATTGGATTCTCTTGCTGATTGTATTTTCATAAAGATTAGGACAGTCAGCACAATCCTACATAAGAGAAAAAAAAAAAAAGAAGTGCTCTATACAAAAAGATGCAGCTCCCAAGAATATTTTTTGACAGATAGTCCATCTCTTAGATCCAGACCTTTTCAGTTCAGAAAAGACCTTTACATATTGCCAATTAAGTACCTATACAAAGACTTCCAGTTTTGGTCATGAATGTATCCTGTATATTCAGTAATTATCTGTAATACATAAATAAGAGACAAAGTCTCCAGAGGACTTTGTAGCTTCATGCAATTGCCTTGCATAGAGATTTATATGAGAATGCACTTCAGATATATGTTTTTCCACATTAGAGTAATCTGGAGCAAATATAGTAGACAACTGAACAAATTATTAACAAAAAAGCAACAAGCCTACGGATTGTTCTATAGATTAGCACCCACTAATAAAATTTAAAAAAAAAGAAAACTAAACCAAATAAACAAAAACAAAATAATCCCACCACCAAAAAAAACCCCAATCTGAACAAAGGACAAATGAAATCTTGCAGATCAAGTAACTGTCACATATTCTCTAGCTTCAAGACTCATCGCCTACTTAAAAATCACATCATTTATCTGAGTCAGTCAATAGTCTCTGTGTTCTTATCCTGTCTCCTCTCTCATCCCAGCCTCCTACATGCTAAAATACATTTGTACACAAACCATTTTATAAACCACAGAATGTATCTCTCTCTTTATTTCTCCATGTAAACTCCATTTATATAAACCACAGACATCACACGTGCACGTTTCTTTATCAGACTTCCTATCAAATTTATGTAAATGTAACAAGTTATGTAAATGCCACAAAATGTTTAATTCTGGTACAGGAATGATTTTTTTATTACATATAATTCCATTAATTCCATGTCATTAAAAAAAAACAATAAAGAGAGACAAAGTGAAGCACAGGCTCAATTTTTATGCTTTCTCATTTGAGGTGTTAAAAGAGATGCTTTTTTTTCTATTTATTTTATGTTATTTGGAAGTTAATGTTTATTAGCTTAAATTTCCTTAAAACTTGATTTTTAGGGAACACATATACATAAAATAATTATATAATATGTACACAATAAATATATAATATGTGTAACTGGTTGAAGTTCACCAAAGAAAATACACTGAATTCCAAATACTCAAGCCCAATCAGTTAATCTAATTATTACAGAAGGTATCTTTAATGTTTTGGAAAGTGATATTACAATCGATTACAGAGATCTGATTTGTTCAAAGATATCTGTAGATGTTGCCATCTGGTTATAACATACAAACAAGTTAAATCTTCCAAGTCTTACTTAAACTGGTCTAAAAGCACCTTCTTGCCTGTGTTTTGACCTTAAAATATTGCACTTTGGATAAGTGGATGTCTCATGCATATTTTCAGGGACATAAAGGCATTTCTTTAGAACAATCTTGCAATACACTAATCTTCAAGATACAGCCACCCTAGAGATGTGTTAGGCCAAGAGAAATTTATGGTGTAATCAACTTAATGCAATATAAGCAAAAGTCTTCATACTTATAAATATTTGCTATATAGCAAGACGTAACTTGCTATTTTTAAAATAACATATTCATGTAAATTCAAACAGCTTTAACAGACAACAAATTTAAAAACAATCATAAAACATTCACACACTAGAGAATATATATAGAATCACATAATCCTTTCATCTATTCTTTTTTCTCCCCAAACAAGAAGAGAGAATACTTAAAATTGTGAGTTTACAGGTAAATTGCCAAAAGCCGTGCAATCACTTCAATTTTTTTTTTCTTTTTATGGTTTTCACAAGCAGTCCTCGCTGTTCAGCATTTTTATGTATGGTACATATATACACTCAGCCTAACTTAAGTTAGAGCCTAACTTAAAAAAAACCCAAGCACTTAACAGCTGGTTCCTTGATAAAGATATGATACAAAATTAAGAGTTAGCACACAATAAAATAAATAAAAAAAAAAATTTTTAGTTTTCTTTCTAAAATTGATTCATCAGTCCCATGAACCTTTTCAGAATTTAAGAGCTGGAGAGAAGTACACCAACTGTAAAGAGTGACTGAGAATTTAAAAGGTGGATTGCACCCTAAAACATTTAAAGAAGCTAGGGGAGAAAATGGCAGAGGGATGACAGCCAACATAACTGTCTCCTAGGCTTTACTTTCTTTTTCATTAATATGCAGCTGCTATATAAATGTGCATTAAAACTTGAAAATTAAATTGACTGATTACAAATATATTTTAAAATCTGTTATTTATAAATTTGCTATTGCATTGTTCCATCCTCCATAACTTGAACAGGAATGCTATGAGACTATTTTAAAATTTTACCAAAAAACCTAATATCTCTCATTCAAACTTTGTGTAATAAACTGCATCATTATAGACATTTAATAATTTTCCTTCCTTCCTCTACCACTTTTTATTAGAAACTATTTAAAATTCTGCTCATTGCAAGATAATAATAGAAATAATGATAATGTCTAAAAATACACAACCATAGATGTGTCAAAACTTCTTTAATCTGCGTTTTTCCTTCCTTGCTAATGCTTCTCACAGCCGAGGCATTTCTTTACTAAACTTTGCATTTAAAGCTTTTTTCCCGCCTCTATTGAACAGAAAATTCCTGGTCTGGCACTTCATTTTGTGTCACGACGGCTGTTTCAAGACCTTGAAACTGTCGAGCAGGGAAAAGACGCATTTTTGGATTCCCTTGCTGCCTGGCATTGGGGTGAGCCAGCCTTAGCCCATCCCCAGCACACCCCCATCTTTCCTTTGCTTTTGTCAGTGCCTTTTGTTTCTCGATGGTTTATGGCTCCCGTGACAGCTTTTATGCCGGTGGGAACTTCCTCAACAGGCTCAGACTTCGGTGCAGCTCCTCGGCCACTGCAGTTGCACTTGGGACGGGGCTCCTACTCGGGTACACTGGCACCAGTATCGCCCTCGCCCTTCCCCAAGCAAGGCAGAGACTTTGCACTGAAAGAAAGCACCCCCCCGGGGCAGCAAAGCGAGGGGTCCCCTTGGGTTGAAGCAACAACAGCACAGAGCTGAAGCTGGGGTGGGTGTTTTTGGTCATCAGTTCCTTTTACCCTCTCATCTTTTTCCGGTACATGGCTTCTCCTCTCCCGGTGGACCCTTCTGGTGCTGTCCTCCTTTCTGCTCCTGCAAACGGGGCTCCGCGCACGGCCAACCCTGGAGCAAATCCCCAGGCTCTGCGGGCTCAGGGTGACGTAAGAGGAAACAGGAAAACTTTGCTTGACCGCAGTTCCACCTCTTAATGACATGTCCGTACATGCCTGCCCTTAGCAGTGCTCTTTCCGCTTTCCTAACTACTAACCTGGGAAGCAAGGGCTGATACATGTTTTGGGTTAAAAACCACAATAATTGAACAATCTCTTTGAAGCCTGCTTCTAAGTTTCAAAGGGATGATAATGCTTCCTTAGCAGAAAAATGAGATTTATTCTTGTGTGTGTTGCAAATAGTCTGATAAATAATTAGGATTTAATTACGTGGAAGAAGTAGTTGTGATAAAATAATTGAGATTTGATCATATAAAAGAAGTAGTTCAATTAAAGGTAGAAAATTGTGAAGCACAATGTGGAGAATTGTTAAGGAGTGTTATGTTTGAAGTATGCAACCATGGATATCTTGCCAAGAAGTTACTGGACCTTGTATTTTAAGTTATAGACCATATATGCTGCTTGGAAACCCCCTCACCCCTTCCCATCTTGATCTGTGTATCAGGGATTCCAATCAGTTAAGCTACATAGAATTGACCAGTTATTGTTTTTGGAATAAAGATATATAGCCTATAGAACCAATTATTGTAAAGGTTAGATTTAAGAATGGACTTACATAAGAGAGAAGTAGTAGTATAAAAATGAATAGAAGAATGGACTTATGTAACATGTAGGACACTCCTCCCATGGACACAGCTTTTTTGCATGGCACACAGACCTTTCCTGAAGGTTGAAAGGTTTCCTCTATTGAAAGCACAGTAGTTCTGCCTCGTACATTGCCAGACCTTTCCATGATGTCCATGTCACAGCTTCATCAAGGATGAAGTGCTCACAAATACCACTGATGAGAGACTTCACTCACGAAGTGTCAGCAAAACTTACTTTCCCTATCAAACCCAGGAGACTTTCCTCTGTGGAGAAAGAGAGGGGTCCATGTATTGGGAACCATGCAGCAAACATGGCATTCAAGGAGCTGGTAATCTCAAACAGAACATATCTACTCACTTGTACTTAGAGACTGAGAAACTTGTACATTCCTAATCTGTAATTTCTATACACAGGCCTGTGCTGCGCTGTGCTGCACATGCAGCATGGCCCTCAGGCCGCACAGATCCCTTGCTCTCAGGAGAAATCTAGCTGGTGGATTGTGACAAGGGAGCCCGGGGTAGCTCCTTCCTGGCACCAGTGGCTGTACCACCCACTTGGCAGTCGCTAACCAACCCTTATCTATATGTGCAGCAGGAAGTTCGAACTTCCTGTAGGAACAGAAATGTGTCCCTGTAAGAAAATATATAATAGCTCAAGTGACAAAAGTGGGGAGCTTCCCTTCACAGGCAGGATATACACAATGTGCTGTGGGGAAATCTAACCATGGTCTTGTCCAGCACTGCCAGAACACAGGGTGCCCAGCATCTGAAGGGGTGTTAGATTTACTTGCTGTCTATATTCCTCTTCTTAGTCAGTCTTATTAAAACAGTTGTTCATTAAGCCATATGTTGTCAGGCATCTCTTACTGAGAACCACTATATATCCTACACCATCTCTCTTACCCATAAGTGATCCTGGCAAGGCCGCTGAGATGCACACATCTCAGTGTGGAATGGAATTGGACTTTATTGATCCTTTTGGGTCTCATGCAACTCAGGATATTCTATGATCCTATGGTGCTGGTGAGTATACAGATAAGACTGCAAGAGGGCAAAATCCATTTATTTTGAGATTTGTAAAATAAACTCACATTCCCTTTCCTTAAGGTATTTTTAAATATTGTTATAGGAATTTCTTGTAGAAATATTTAGGAAAGATAGCAGCTCCCAACATGCTGTTCATGTAAGTGCTATGCTGGAAGAACACAGTGCAGCTCAGAACATTGCCAGCCCCCTTTCAAAAACATGGCCAAACTAGCAAGACTCACAATCCTAGGATGACACCGAGGAGCAGCTACAATTACCAGTCACTTGGCAGCTCATATTCTGCTTGCAGATTAACTGCACTGTGGGTGCAGAGAGCTTAGCTGGCTCCCTTCAAAGTCTGTCTGGGTCCATCAGCTGAGGCACAGCACTGCCTGATCAGGTTTGGAAACACCACAGATACTTTCACGGGATACCAAGCCTGATCTAATGACGACCAGAGGTGTCAACAGGGAGTGCTCCAGGGAGTCTGCAGGTGCGGTCCTCAGACTAGGAGCCCGGGGGAGCAACAGGCAACAGGACCTAAGTGGCTCCTCATAGACTACGAAGAGACTGGTTCTGCCCATGGTGAGCTGTGCCACATTCGGCATGCCAGCAGCACTCTGTGTTCCAGGAGAGGAGGTTACCTCAGGCTCAACACTGCCTGAATGCACAGAGCCAGCTTTGGCCTAGTACAGTGACAGGGCTATTTGTCCCTCCAGGAACTGGCCTTGAGGTTTTTTCCATTACCTGGGATATCCCAAAATGGCATGAGTTGTCAGTATAAAGATTTTGGATTCCATCTTTTTTTATGGAATACCTGAAGAAAATTGCTGAGCTCTGCCTCTTCTGAGGGACAAGGAGCTTCGGTGATTTCCGGACTGATGCTGGAGCTAATGCCAGATATTGACAACAGCGTGTCTAACCTACTTGGCTTGAGTGCTGGCTGCCTCAGAAACCACCTGTCTCCACAAGGAACAAAGTGAGTAGAGTGGGCTCTTGGATAACCAATGTACACCACCCTAACCTGATGGGCAATCTTGTGCGTGGCTTGGAAGAGAATGTCAAGGTGTGCATTACCAGTGTTTTCATTTTTACATGGCTGTTTGTAAATGCATTTTAAGTATCAGTGGCAACAGTGCAACTTTCTGAAAGCTAAAAAGTATGACAGGTAGTCCCAGGAAAGGTCTGCTAGGAATGTACTTCTATAATGAAAACAGAACACAAATGGAAGTTCATGGTGGAAATTCATGAAGATCAAGGTTGTGATAAACTCACTAAGGAAGAAGCCTCTTTGTAGTTTTCAGACTGAGGTACATGACGCTTTTAAGATAATATGGTGACACTCAGCCTGTAATGGGCTCAGTGGAGATTTGATGGGAAAGCTTCCTGCAGGATAATGTGCAATATGTGTTTGTTTCCATGATCCATTCCAATGACCCTGGCTCTGACAGCAATAAAAATCACCTGAGATAAAGTCAAGAGATGGGATAAGTACTTTCCTAAACTGCAGCAGCTCCGTTCCCTAGAATGTGCCTCTCAACATCTTCGTCCAAAGATCTAAGCACTATGTGATGGGCTGAAACTAAGCAATGCCTGTGTTTCTTCTCCAGAAGCCATTTCCCATTCTTCACCTCTAGCTCCACAAACAATATGGCTTGTATCTGTGACCCCTGCGAGTCCTTAGTGGACAGGCACACACTCACATAACATGCAATAGCTATAATTTCTTAGGATTAGTAAATTTAGCTGTGATTCTCACTCAAATACTCTCCATCATGCAACCAACATTAGTGAATGACACAGGGGTATAAAACTAACACGGTCTGAGATGCAAGAACATACCGTTTCCTAGGTCAAGTTTCCTTTCAGTCTTCCAGACTTCATCATCTCATGTGTACTGCAATAGCAGCATGGCATGCTGATCTGGATTTCCTGTATCTTGGGAAGAGGGATGCTTTTGCTGTGCTGTGACAGCTTCACATCCTCTTGTCAAGCCACAGGTTCAGTTTCTCAGAGTGAACTGGCAACAAAAGACTGGATGCTGAGGGCTTTCAGTTTCCAAACACCCAGGGCTTGAACCACCTTCTGCTGCTGCAGTGTCCTAGGACTAGATGAAAATGACCTGCTGAATTGCTGAGTTAACATTTTAGCCCTCCTACCACAGAGTGGGATATCTCTACTTAAGATCATGTCCTGGGATGGTGTTTGCTTCCAGAAGCAGCCAGTCCATTCCTGGGAAGTTGCCCAAACATCTGCTCTCTGCAACAGGAGTGCACCCTTGCAATGCACAGCACAATCCATGCTCAGTATCACCTGGAGCACCAGCTTCCCATGTGCAGGGCATGGCACAAAAATATGCTGGCACAAAATCACAGCTGGGAGGAGTCAGCAGAGCCCTGTCAGAATGTGGCTGTGGGCCCACACCTGAGCTAGAACAAAAGTGCAGCACCTACCAGTGACCAACAGCACTGCCTGGCATTAGTGGTCAGGAGTCTGCTGGGCAATTAATAAGCCTTATTAATTACAGGGGTCCGATAGGGCTATAAATAAAGCACATTAGGTAACTAGACTGGTAGACAGCCAAAGAAAAAAGAAGAAAACTGATGACTTTGATTGATGTGCCCACAGACATTTTGCCTCTTAAGCACTCTGGCCATAATTGTTATTTCAGTGAAAGCTTGGATATGAGAATGAAAAACATGATGTGAGATCATCAGCATGTAGGTAACTCAACCAGAAACACAAAACATCTTGTTCTGACAGCTCAGTCATGGGACATATGAGTCATAATGCCTTAGTTCAATTTATCTCATTCATTATGCTGCTCTTTATCTTTATTACTCAATGAAATAGAAACCAAAACATAACTGCCTTTTTGTGATTTCTTTTCCACTTTTAAAAGCCTGCAGCACATCAGGGAATATTTTCTATGCACATATTAGATGTTGGTGCCCCAAAAGCTGGGCCTTTCTGACCCCAAATCTATTATAAATCTTGCTAAGGAGGCTTTATCACCTCACAGAGTTGATAGGACAGGACAATCCATACAAGTCAGAAGTTTTATAGGAGACAATTGTCACCAAAATCAGCGTATCAAAAAATTACAGCACTCCCCAGCACATCTCTCTGTAGCCTCTTGGATGTTGTTGACCTTTGCTGTCAGATTCTGAAGTCTTTTCTTGTATCTCAGCCCCTCTAGCCTCAGACCTGCGTCACAGCCGCTCATCTGACATTATATATTTGTCCAGGCCTGTGGGACAAAGAACAGGAAAGACAGTTCAGAGCTCAAAAAACAAAAGGTAGATAAATATCCCAGAAAAATTATTTATCCCTGTT